AAAAAAACTTAAAATGTGATAATAATAATAACTTCTTTATTTTGAGTTTTTTCCCCTGTTATTTTATTTAAAAATTGATTAGGGGTTTATGAAATAAATGACAATGACTGAACATCGGGGATTGGTGAGAAGACATTTTTCGATAACTGGAGGTTGTGGTGGAAGGTGAGCCTCGATTTCTTCAATAACTGTGGGTGTGATTTTTTTTCATCTCCACATTTAATGTTGCCTCGAAACATTTAGTAACTTATAAGAAAATTTTATGTAACTAATATTTGACATAGATATTTGTTTTTAATACTTATGCTATTACGTACTCAACTACATCACAGCACGTGCATTGCACGTGCTTCTGACTAGTTATGTTTACTAAAACAAAAATAAATCAATAAATCTACAAAAATGATCTTACTGCAAGTTTTAATAATATTTTGGGAAAATTTACCATTTTACCCCTTTCAAGTTTCAATTTGATCAAAATCCATTTTTCTTGGTCAACTAACGGTCAAATGAATGGTTTCCATCCAATTGGACTCCAAATATATATTTATGAAATGTTAGGAATATTCGTTTGCACATATTGAAGGTTGGAGTAAAATTTACAAAAAATGAGAATGTTAGGGACCGCTGCTACAATTTTCTCTAATATTTTTGTAGAGGGTAGAGATTGGGTAGGTGTAAGAAGAATATTTGAGTGTATACTTCATTATATGCTTTAGTGCAATTGGGTGTGTGTCTATGGAATATACTTTAGATTCAAAATTTAAATTTGAAGATGGTTTTTATTAGCCTGCAATCTTCTTTATTTAAATTTCTCTAATCCTGTCGATTCTAAGTGTAAGTTTTTATATTTATATATACCCATGTTCAGGGGCGTGCAAAGGGGCGCACACGGAGGAATATCAGAGGGGCAATTGTCCTCGCTACATTTTTAGAGTTATTTCAAGATTATAAAGAAATAATTTATTACATGTTGGCTATCGTTGTGCCATTGACAACTGACCATCGTCACCTCAAATCAAAAATTTGACTATGATATTGAAGCATATGATTGTAACCATTGTACCGTAAATGATAATATTTACCCTCCGAGTATTTTTGAAGGTGTAAATCAATCAACCCTTCTCACGAATTTAAGTTGGCATTCTAGAAAAAAAGACATTTAGTCCAAAAATGCCTCCTTCTTCATCTTGTTTTTTTTTTTTTTTTTGGCTACCTAATTTATCAATGAAGGCTGAGTCAGCAGTGACAAAAACATATATGTAGACTAACATAATTTATGTAAAATATTATATGGATGACAATTACGCTGCAACTATCCATATAATTTCTATGTTTTAATTTGATTCTTGAACATCTGTAACACGTAATGTTATTATCATATATTATTTTCAATTATTACTATGCCTTCTATTGTATACAGTACTTGTTTAGTTTATTCCCAATTTGCAATTCTTTATATTGTAACATATCTCTACTATCATTTTTTCAATGAAAAAAATAAATAAAAAAAATTGTCTCATCATTTTTATTTTAAAAATGTACCTAAATTATGTTCTAGTTAATTTATTTTTGTAGCATCTATCCTAACCCTACTCCCACCCCTACTCACCCAACCTCCTTGAGTTACAACATTTTCAGTGTAATTGTGGATTGTTTAAAATAAATAACAATAGACAGTGTTTTTTTTAAAAAAATTCTTTACCATGCAAGCTGATATAAAAATTTCGTCAAGTTGAAGTGATTCGGAATTAAGCGTTGCTTTATTTTTATTTTAAAAAGATGACAATCACTTATATAACAATCCAAATAATGCATCGAAGACTAATTTCAGACTTGAATATATCATTTCATAGAATATATTGGAGATGCTCTTAAACCATATCTGCTAACTTCGTTGTCCTATCCTCCATCCCGTAGCCACTTGGATGCCTCTCTTTCCGTTCCCCTACTTCCGCTCCCTCGTATTTTTTACACCTTTACTTGAGAAACTCAAAAAGGGTCGGTGGGAGAGAAATGCATGGGTCGAGAAAGTGTTGGAATATTGTCTAGACGAAGTAAAAATAAGTTGTTGTACCAAAAAAAAAAAATGTAGAGAGAGTGATAGTGAAAAAGAAGATGGTGAAGTAGACCTACTATTAGGATAAATAAAAGTAAAATGTTTCAAACACAAATGCACATTAACTCCAAGCAAGCTCTTACGTTGACAATTGAAAATAATTCGCCTATATTTTTGGTCGGAAGCCAACCATATACTAATTAATATTTTAGGAAACTTTCTTCATCGATCATAATATATTTCAAGCTGGAATTTAATACACATGCACAAAAGAACAAATATGAGTCAACGAGATATTGATACAGCGGTTAATTTCCGGCGAAATCTGGACAAAATTTTATTGATTATGACTCCATCGAGGGACCAGATGGTGGTTGACATGATTGCCCTAAAATTAATTTCCACTTATTTTCAAACTTCAACGGCTGAAAAGTCTAGAGTTCGTAATATGACAGCTGAGGAAACTTTTAGTTAATTCTTAACTTTACACCAACTTAAGACAACCACTTAGATTTTTTTTATTTTTTTTCATGTTTACACCAATGTTGAAACAGATATTCAAATGTCTCAAATCCAGTTTCACATCAGCAGACGGATTCTTGAACCCCTTTCACACTCATGTCACGTCAACAGCAAAATCCGATCCAATTGTAAATTCCCACGACTTTTAAGGGAAAATAATTGAGAATATATTTGTTGGGCCTATAAATGTCGAGCTATATTCTTAAATGAAAGAATACTGTTTAAGTAAAAGACAAGCTTTGTCTTCAAAGGGTGAGTTTTATCCTAGGTGGAACGGGTTAGGGTTCATGCCATCAGACCATCTAAATTGAATGTGGCTAAGTATAGTTTTTATATCATGCAGGGTGGTTCTTGGCTTGGCTGATGGAGATTGCAAGCATCGGAAGCTTAGAAGAATTGGTAAGCATTACATCAAATTAGTCTTTCTATGACGATTATTACACAACGATGATGGCAGACGTTAACATATTTTAATAATCTTGTTTCATTAAACATGATTTTCATCGTTTACAGGGAATGGATGAGACTGGTTTTCTACACCATTGGCCTGTAAATTCACTAGACGATCTCAGCACTCTGTCTATTTCTGCTGCATTTGGCGAAGGTTCTTACCAGTCTTTCTCTCAACCAATGTTGAATTTCAAAAGGGGTCCAGAATTTTCTCAATCTGGGGTCGAAAGGCCCCCGAAACAGCTCAAATGGCTTAATCCCTTAAACAATCTCAATTCAATGAATTCCAATTTCACCAATCAATTAGGAATGGTGAAGCCGAAAGAGGAGACATGGCCTTCTTCTAGCACTGTAAATTTCCCCAATGATTCCGTTGTTTCTCAAGCTCCGTGTGGGACTGAAAATCACGAGGTAAAGGCTTGTCCGGGGAATAAGAGAATTAGCACAAATGATAGACTTTCTCATGGACAGGATCATATTATAGCTGAGAGAAAGAGAAGAGAAACAATCAGCCTGAGATTCATAGCTTTGTCCGCCCTAGTCCCTGGATTGAAAAAGGTATAGGACTTTTTTAATTTCTTCAGATATTCATCTTTGAATAAAATGAATGGATTCACACAATGTACACTTTTTTCTTGACCACTAATCGACCTAATATCCCAAATATATTAATTTTTTTTTTAAAAGAATGAACAATAAATATTCGTGCTTATTTCATATTTTAGGATTTTTTATGTTTATTATTGCTCGCATGCTTGGGATTAGGGTTTATTCCCTAAATGCGTGCATAATGCCAATACATTTTCTTACCATTTTACGAGCAGATGGACAAGGCATCGATTCTTGGTGACGCTATTAAGTACATGAAAGAACTTCAAGATCGAGTGAGGACTCTTGAGGAACAATCAATGAAGAAGAAATCCATGGAATCTGTGGTTTTTGTCAAGAAATATGAGATTTATACTAATAATGAAAAATCTCCCTCGAATGAGAACTTCATTGATGAGCCACTTCCAGAAATTGAAGCAAGATTTTCTGAGAAAGATGTCCTTATAAGAATCCATTGTGAGAAAAGGAAAGGAATTTTTGAAAAAACAGTTACTGAAATTGAGAAGCTCCATCTATCAGTTGTTAATAGCAGCGCCATGACTTTTGGAGATTCTGTCCTCGACATTACTATAATTGCAAAGGTACTTCATACATAATAGTTCATAAAATCTCGTAATTTTTCGTATCTTGCAAATAAGATAGAAATTCTCTTGATTTCTTGCAGATGGAAGAAGTATACAATATGTCGGGGAAGGATTTTGTGAAGAATTTACGCTCAGCGCTCAAAATATTCATCTGATATTGATGAAGTTCCTCGTTGAAGCCATAGTTAAACTTTGTTTTGCCAATTATCTGGCTATCAAGATCCTGTTTTTGACTTCCACCATTTCAAACCATTTTTTTAAGCTTATTTTGCTGTGGGGGTTCATTTTAAAGGAGGGTTTTTTCAGATTTTTTTTTTCATGGCTGATTATTGTTGATTTGCCATGTTTTTATACCCTCCTGTTTGTAAAGAAAATGGACCCCATAGCTTTGTTTTGCTTTTTAATGGTTTTTAGTTCTTTTGGTGGATGAATAGACTGGAATTTGTAGCAGAAATTGAGGTTATTGATCAGTGTTTTACATGCCTTTAAGAATATGTTCTTAATTAGGTCCTCTTTTAAATGTTCTTGTTCTTGTTTGTCTTGTGAATAAAGTGAAAATAACTTATTTTGGATTGATTCTTCAATTTTGTGGATTTGTGCATACATGTTAATATGTTTTTATGTTGAACAATAGTCCTGTTTTTTGTCTTGATTGTTTGTTTTAATATTATAGAAAGCGTTCTTCGTTTTCTTAAAACTGAAAATCGAAGAACACGTTTAGTTTGAGATTTTTAGAAATTATATTGTGATATTTTATTCAATAAATTTGATTATTATGAATATATATAT